TCCTCCTCCTCCTCCTCCCTCCTCCTCTCTCTCTCTCTCTCTCTCTCTCTCTCTCTCATTATAAGGATATCAAGTGCTGTTCAAGTCTTTGCTATAATATATCCTTCAGAGATCTTTTACAATGTGCGATAAAAAGTATAATCATTTTTCTGAAATTTTAAAAAGCGAGATAGGTTTGCATAGGTTTTTACGAAAAGAAATTTCCTCAATCAACATTCGATAATTAAAGATATTTTGTTTCTTTTTTGGAGAATATATTTGAAGCTTACTTAGCGATGTACATGTTTTTATCAAGCATGATATATTAGCAGTGAAATCCGTCAATCGGCTGATTTTGCACCGTGTATTATTTCCTATGCATAGCGCCGCGAAAAAATTGCTCGCAGGGGACATTAGCTCGCGTATAGACTTTCCGATGTCAGTATTGAATGAAAGCTGGCGCTCGTCCCGTCGACGACATTACAATAATGCGTTTCTTGCTTCTCTCTCTCCAGCTCGGCGGGGCGAACGATTCCGCACGGCAACTTGTTGCTGCGACAAAAATCGTCCGGACGGTTCTCGCCGGGGGGTTAGTTTTAGTCCCGATCGATTCGGCAAACTATTCCCAAACATGGAGATATCGAGACTGATTTTCGTGGACTTTATTTAGTTGACCGATTGTTCCCGATCGCCTTTTTTACGCGCGGCTCGGTGCGCCGAAATAAAAATTTACGATTCGCGGATCAATGCGATAATACGGATTACGTTGTATCCATAATCTAGCGTATGGCCATTCCGTTCTCTCGGATTCGCTAATAAATTTTATAAAAGCGGATGTCGTCCGTATGCTGCAACGTGTACGAATGGTCGGCGAAAAATGCTGTGGAAAATATCGATATTTGACATCTTCTCTTAGTTAAAGGAATACAACATATAGTTAACAGTAATGTAACTTTACTTCCGTAATCCCGATATTAGTAAGATTTACAAATGTGAAATCTCGGCGGCGTATAGAAGGCCATCTCCAGTTAAAAGCATGCGGAAATAAAAAACGAGCAAGAGACTTGCATAAGCCGCGGCAAAAGAAAATGAAGAAAAAAAGCGCAGGGATAAAATAACGGGAGAAAATAACGGTTTCATATTTTGCCTTCGGCCTTTTCTGAAAATATTCAGCCCCACGAATCGCGTAATCGAACCTCCTCCTGGAAATCATCGAAAATCGACATTACGCGCAGATACGTATTTGCGCTACGGTCAAACGACGGCTGCAAATAACCAGCTTTCGCTTCTCTTCTGTGCCAGAAAGGCGGAAGATCCGGGAATTAAGAGAGTTGTTTGGTACCGCCGACCATTTTCAATTTCAGCGTGCCGATGGACC